AACCTATTTAAAGAATGATGACCATCCGCGATTTTCGCGATTTGCGCGAAACCTGCGACGGATCGCGGACTCTGACACTAGCCTAACGAAGCCTTTAATCTTTCGGGGGTGTAAGGACTGGGCTCGTCATTCATTATGTTAGGCAGCGTCGAATTCAAATACTACCACAATTCTTATTGAAGGTGTGATAGACAGCGTGGTAATCTTAAAGAAGGGGCTTTTTTTTATCTTGTTTTACATAGCAAAATTGCTTCGAAATTGCACCTCATGTAGATTATTTCAAAGCTCTAGATTGTCAAGTATTCGTATCTAAATCTAGAGGGCATTGTTGTTTCTGATACTTTGTTCCTTACGATGCTTTAATTTATTTCTGTAAAGAAGTATGCTTGGAATGATGCTGACAAACTTGTTGCATTCAACTTTTGGTGTACTCAGTGAGGAGCGCCTCCTCTGTCATCTCTGATCAGAAGGCTAGATCTAGTGAATCAAGTATCGGTGCATTCATCGCAACGAGTCTTTTTCCACTGCATCCTTTTTGTGTGCGCAGTTATTTAATTTATTTTAAAAAAGTGCTTTTCAGAAAGTGTGACAGTTTCTTTCAACGCTCGTGATTTATTCTTGTATGCAAATGTCTTTTCTCATTTACCCACAGCCTTCATTTTCAGCGTATGCGTAGATGGTTGGTGGCGTACGCTTGCTAGCTTGCGGTCGATTGGCCGTAAGGGCCGTTTTTTCTGCATCTGCTCTTGACATTGGTGAGTTCCTTGAGTTGATCTTCCGAAACTACGTCACCCTGTAGCTCTTAATTGGGCGTTACGTGTTCTGCGTATAGCACTCCACACGCACATTTGAAATGCGCAAGTTCTTACATAACTGCATTCACCTGCTGGGGAGCATATTAAATCCTAACTACTTCTCCTTTTTGTTTTCATATTTCCATCTTTAGGCAAGTGTCAGGCGTTGCAACCAATCACTAGTGAATCGCGCAATTTGCTATCGATTCCGCGAGCTCGGACATCTTCATTTGCCTGTTGTTTGATCACTCAGTAAGAAGTTACCGACAGAGTTAGGTAGCGTCGGTCGTCATTCATTGGGTTGGAAGGAACATCATTGTCATCGTGGGTCTAATGTCCCGTCCTTCTCTTATACGCAACTCAGAGGTTCCTATAATGTCACGATCAGCTATGCGGTGATGATTGACCCTAGTCGGAACCTTTATGTTGTTGTATAATAGCTATCTACCAAAGACCCGGTTTAGGTTCACTCACTAAGGTATCAGCAGTTGATGAAAAATCCAGGTCCTGGTTTTCGAATTGCTCCTCCCAATACCGCGGGATTGCTTTGACATTTGGCGGCACTTCGGAACATTAAGAACTTCATTATAGAGGCAAATATAGCCGCGCTTTGAGTCTGCGTCTTATTCTGATTTGCGAGATGTACGTTGAGTTACTTTGCTCTGGCGTAGCACTACTCTGCGTTACCTCTTTTTTTTTTTTTTTTTTGAGTTGGAGCTTGTTTTTTTTTCACAATGACCATCTGATAATTTTAGGATCTAGCATAACAACAGCATGTCCGGATCCACCTCTTCCAAAACGAAATTTGTCAACAGCACCTGCAAGGGGTGATAATGCAGTTCCTGTTTCACCCCCAGCAGCTCCAGTAGTGGCTAGTTGTGCTGGGTTTCCTAAAGTGAGTTTAGCTCTTCTCACGAATTTGCTGCCATCTTCACCTATCTAAATACAAGGCTTGTAAAAAAAAACCATCTGTAGCAGTGCATGTCCACATTTTCATTTCTTCTTCGGTCGATCACATTACTGCATCTCGACTGTGATTGATTTTGTAAAAATCCAAGGAGTGATTTATTGAGTAATAATTGCTAACATTATTGTGCAAAGTCTCACCACGCCCGCATGAATAATTCATAGCTTTGCTATGGTATTCATGTTTTGTTGAGATTGCATAGGCAATAAAAAGTTTGAGAACAAAGAGTCTTACGCGAAGCAATTCAAATTACCGTTTTCAGGATATGCAAAAAGGTCCTTCCACAGTCCTTGATTCTGGAGTATATGGAGATGATGCCTGTTTTATATCACGGTTCAAAAACACCTTCGTCGTCGGTATGTTGCGATTTTTGTTTCTGTAACAAATGTGACGCTAGACATCAAGTGACTGATGATTGACATGATATGATTGGAACAGTCTTTGCTTCTTTTAATTTTCTGCATGTTTATTCTGTTATTCCTGCCCACTGCTCGGGTTTTTTTTTAAATTAAATAGGTGTGGGTTTTAGTGCAATTTGACTCAAGGAGTCCTTCCAGGTTGGGAACTGTTAACGCCTTAATACTTGTACCATTTCTTTGCTTTTTTAGATGCTGTCTTGTTTTTAAATTTTATGGCGCGAAAACTACTGTGAGTCTGGTGAGGTTCTTGGAGGTTCAAGCCCAGGAGAGGAAGCAAGTGGAGGAAATGAAAACTCACGCACCTCGGTATCTCCCAGTTCCCTTAAGGCTTAGTCTTAGAAGTCTGATAACAAAGGTTGGTCTGTTTTAATGTGTGCGCTGTCAAACGCAATACCTCCCCCCTCCTGCACAGTTTTCAGAAATTCGATAACTTCAACGAGAACTGCTGTTCGCTCAACTACTTCGAACTAAAAGCCATGCCATAGAAATGGAATCAGGAACTGCTGCTCAAAGTGTCCAGTATCCTATAAAGAAGTAGTTTTAGTGTAGTTATGCATGGGTAAGATGAGAGCACTATCTAGTTTCCTGAGGATAGAAAAGCGCAAAGCTCGTCACATTTCCTCCGTTAGCAACACAAACCTTTTGTGGCGTGCAGACGATGAGAGCCCTCCCCTACCTCCATCCTATGGGTACCGTACTTGAAGATCGCTTAGTCGCCTGCTCTATGCTATCGAGAAAAGTACTGATTGATGAAGCTTTCTAACCGCAGAATTGATTTGATCTTTGCTGTACCGATTGTCCGCATTTTCTGCAGCTTCCCATATAAATGCCACAGCCAATTTTGAGTTGGTTTTGATTGCTACCTCCTGCTCTTGGCCGCAGCTGTCATGCGAAAGTTCTTACAAGAATGCGGGTTAACGGCAAAGCTCTTGCTGCAAAAATGACATACATAAATTCCACTATTGTGTTTCGCAATTTTTTTGTAGTCCCTAATCGTTTTTGTCTTGGCTTGTGTTTTATATTTTTAATCTTTTTTCATAGTTGAAGGAAATTCTGCATACTGCATTAGTAGCAACCATTTTTGTGTGGCTTTCTTCATTACTTGTTTCTTCTCTAGGAGTTGCTGACGGTGTCGGTGGTTGGCGAAAATATGGCATCGATCCGTCGGAATTCAGTCGGAAGTTGATGCGTGAATGCGAAAAACGCGTCTCTTCTGGTGATTTCGATCCACGAAGTCCAGAGGCGTTGCTTGAAAAGGCATTCAAGGCTACAGCAGAGGCCCCTCGACCAGTTGGTGTGTATCTTCGAGTATCTTTTATGTACATTATTTCTTTCCAACTGTTCAAAATGTTTTTCTTAGGAATTTTCCGAGATTATTAAAACCTGTTATTTCCCGTTCTTGGAATTACTTCCTCTTCACCTTGCCTTCCTATCTGGGATTATAGCATCTGGCCCACTTGACAAGGTGAAGTTCTAGAGTGAAGGTCCCCTATTATGACATCTCTGCCTATACTCACAAGTTGAGCATCAACATGCTCTTTTGATCTTATCTTAATAAAATTTGAAGAGTCAACATTGCCTCAATGCCATCGATAATGTTCCAGGATCATCAACAGCATGCGTTTTGGTGGTACATCAGGAGATGTTGTACTCAGCGAATCTTGGTGATTCTGGTTTTATGGTAGTGCGAAATGGGCGAGTTCTCACTAAAAGTGAGGAGCAAGTTCATTATTTCAACGCGCCCTTTCAACTCACACTTCCGCCTGAAGGTACGTTCGGTTGTTTTTTTTTTCAGCGCATGGTAGTGAAAAGCTTCAAAAGGGCTGAAAGTATTCTATTGTAGAGAAACGTATATGAGGGGTGAAAGCACAATGATCCAGTGGAGTTTTGAAACATGGCAAAATGAATGTCTGTCCTTTTTTTGTGCTTCGCATCATGCCTTCTTCAGTGATCTTCAGTTTTGTACATCCAAGATGTGAACACATCTAAACATGAACTGTTCACTCAACCACATTCGCCCACTTCATTAGAACAGTGTTTCCCCCAACGGCCGCCGAAATTTTCCATTTCTTGCCTACATCCCACCTTTTCCTTCGCTCACCTTTATTTGCGAAATCAGTAACTTGTGAAGTGGTTGCGTAGGAAGTGCGCGTCATTTTGTTGAATGGTGGTATCGCAATTATAACTATCGTAGGATTGATACTTCTGCATTGGTTTGGTTCCTATTTTTGTTAGTTGATTTCTCGCACCTTGTCTCCCCAACTCCCACGTGCTATTTTGGCATCGAATGGTCGACTGGGACGGACGTCTGCTGCAAAGGACCTCTGCTCTGGGGAGTCCAATGTTATATAGGGAGGGCGTTATCACAGTAATCACATATTGAAACGTTGATGACACAAAAAAACGGCACATGGAAGACCAGCCCATCTCGTCGGCTCTTTATCAAATCCAATTGAGAGGGGTCTTTGGGGCGGACGGAAATACAAACAAACGGATCAACACTCAACACACAAAGCTTTCACAAGAATGCTTAGTTGTGGGCAAAACCGTTGCCCCAGCGGGATTCGTACCCGGATCTCTTGCTTTCCGGGCAATTGTGCTACCAGTTACACCACCGGGGCACCATTTCACCCCAACTCAGCTTCGATGGTGAAGTTACCATAGCTTATCAGCATTCACACGTATAACGTGATGAACCTGGTTAGCCTATACGGCAGTCATACGCAAGGCTGAAAGCTTTATCAGATGTTATCTTTTTTGTCCAATCCAAACAAGGCAATGTTTCGTTTATTAGATAGGGGAATGTACATATTGAAGAAATGAATGCACACATTTATTTATTGGGTAGCTGGGAGATGGTTAGGATGCCTAATATGTCAGTTCGCCATCGTATGGATGTAAGAAATTTAAGAAAACCAGTTACTACATGGTTCTAACGTATTCTTCCTCAAAGTTTAAAGTACAAGGTCTAAAAGGGCCATTAGAACATCCGGATCTCCCGCATAGTATCGGTACTTTTTCTTCTACCGCTGACCAAATCGGTATATCCACTATCTTTCAGACCAAACAGTGAAGGTTGAGTATGGGGAACAAATAAAAAATTTGTGATGTAGCCTTTTTATTGATAACCAGGTCAATTTGTTTAGGGTATCGCGGGTTTATCGGAGACACTCCAGATTTAGCAGATAAGAAGGAGATCCGCGTTCAGAAAGGAGACATCGTCTTATTGGCTACCGATGGTTTGTGGGATAATTTGACAGAACAACACGTTCTTGATCAACTTCGACCACTTATCGAAGAGAAAGCAACTGTTCAAGAGGTGATTCTTGTTCTCATTTTATCTAAGAGGTTGTATCGTTTTCGGCTTGTTCCATTTTTCAATAATTCTTTGTAATTAATGTATGATTTAGGTTTGTAATGCACTTGCGCTAACGGCACGAAGGTTATCGTTCGACGTAACGCATAACAGTCCATTCGCGGTAAAGGCACGTGAGCATGGTCTTTCAGCTGCCGGTGGAAAACCTGACGATATCACACTTGTGCTTCTTTTAATCGTTTAATCGATTGAGTGCCATATACAGTGATGTAGATTAAGTGATCATTAGTCGGTAGAATATGCGCTCTGGAGTCTCGTTCTTCTCGTATTTATAATGCTTGAACTGGACTACGCTCTTCATATTCAGTGCCCATCGTAAACTACTGGTCACACCGGGTTTCTGTAAATCGTTGACAGCACCGTTTGTACGCTACCTTGTACTTGTCTATCTCCTCGTTGGGCGCTGAAGAAAATGCTATCGCTCGAATCTCGAACTCAAATATCCTTGTGTCACACAGCACATGGTGTACATGTCAGGGTTTTGCTTGAGTTATGATTAGTATGACGGAAACGTCTTCTCGTCTAGATATACGCTATACATGGCGTAATTGTTATTGTTAGGAAGGTGTTGCACAGTTGTTCGTTTGAATGTGATATGGTAATCGTTTTGCTTAGCGACAAAATATCATGCACTAAGCGTCATCTAATTGCGGCAAAGGCTCAAAACGTATATAGTGTTATAGGAATCTTTTCTTTTTGTATGTTGGTTTAAAACGCGTGTACTGTCGTGGCGGAAATAAAGTAGAGATTGTCTTATGTGTAGTATTTGTTTAATGAACTCATGTAGCCCCTATAAAGTTGAATGAATTTTACCTTTCTTCCGTTTCTTTTTTGTTGTTTGGTTTGCTGCTATGCTACGGCTGCTCCTGAAGTCAGAGGACTTGCTGCCAGCAGCTCAGGCGACGTCAACGAATTTATCAATGATAGCGAGTAACCATAAGTGGTAGGCGAAGGTAATTAAATGCGCATGATTATGGGTCATCTGCGTTTAAAGCTTTTTAGGCGGTCGTTTCTTGTTTCGTTAATACGCATCCTTTCTCCTACGTCGCGCGCGCCGGTCATCCTTTTCACCTGATCGCCTGCTTAATTTGCTTATTCGCTTGAGTGACCAACGCCAATGGTGTTCCATGCAGGGTGAAAATCGGTCGAGGATTCGTCGACGGCTCGTCGAGGATTTTCGCCTGTTCAGTCACGCTCTCGCGCGGACATTCACTCTCGCCATGCGCGAGCCGTCTGTGCTCTCCGCGCGTACGTTCACTCTCGCACTACTCTCGCACAGTACAGAGCTATGGTCGAGGATTTTCTCGACCGTTATTCACCCTTGTTCCATGCCTTGCCACCGTTGATTTTCAGTGGTGTTGCCGTTAACGCTGGCTTGGACAGCACTGTGCTTCCATTTTTCACCAAAGACACGTCGGCATCTTGGGAACTGACGTCGTGCTTACCCTTACAAATCCCATGAGTAGCGCACTGGACCAATCGTGCGAATAGAGTTGTTGGATTCGCGTTCTGCCAGAAACAGATCCACTGGGAAGGGCGTTCAGCGTTCGAAACTTCTAGCACAAACACAATCACATCGGTTTCTTTTTCTTTTTTCATTACTGTAAGGTGAAGCTAGCGCAGCCACACCTGCCCACAGTCACTTTGTCTCCCGTCTCCCACCTCGTTATGACCTGGTTCCCTTATGACTTTCTCTCCCAGACACCCAATGCTGGGAAACCAAGACCCTGTTTGAGCGTTTTGCGGTTTCTTTTTCTCTTTTCTTCACTGTAGGGGTGAACTAGCGTCTACTATTTCATACTTACCTCCGTGTTCACACCGTTCTAGCTATCTCGGAGTATGCCTTAAAGGCATGCCCCAGGATCACATTGGTGTGGCTCTTGCACACGAATGCGAATGTATTGGTGCGAAATGGGCCGGCAGTAAAGAAAAAAGGAAAAGAATCCGTCGAAAACGCTAGGTTAAGGGCTCACTCACCTTCCTAATCGGCTGTGCTAAGGGAATGAGAGACTAAGCGCGGAGAGGAGAGTATGAGGCGAGAGAGCGCTACAGATGAGAGAGCGCCAGACAACAGCCTGATAAGAGAAAAAAATCTGCAGCTTCAGCAGCTTACTTTGCAAGGCCCAAGCGCTCTTGTCGGTTGGTTTCCGTGCACGGGAACGCCACATTTGTGATTGTCCTCTAGGGGTCTATACTACAGACCGAAGGGAAGGATCTCTGCCTGGGTTGTGCCTTTGAACAAAAAGTAATTCGTATCTTAAAAAGTAGTTCTTAGAAAAGTCTTCGTGCACAAGGAAGCCTAGTTTTGAAAGAGAGGTGGAACTGAAATGTTTTGTCTTGGCTGCGTATTTGGGATTGGGGCGCATTATTCATTTAAGACGAAGGTAATTATACAACTCTCCAAACAACCTTTTAATAGGATGCAGAATGGTGAATGGCTTTAGTGAATGCTGGTAGTGTCTGAAGAAAACTGAACATGAGCTGGAAATGGGGAAATGGTCTCGCGGCGAGACTTTGCGGAGCAATTTTCACGTGCGAGACTCCACTTCATCAGTGGCATCAAGTCCTTCGCTGACAATCTTTTACAAAAAGCAGCAGCGAATGAGCGCCTCTCCATCGGTGTCTTCCATCACAGTGACGCTTTTGCGTCACGTAATTGGTGTGGGAGGTTTCTTTGCTCACTTGAGAAATCTAGGCCTCACATATACGATTTTATCTTTGCAAACACCTTGGACAGGTGTCAG